TCTTGTTTCTATATTTTATATTCTAACTTACATGTGTAAATTTGAATGCATCCATATATGATCCACACACACACACACACACACACACACACACACACACACACACACACACACACACACACACACACACACACACACACGCAACATACACACACACACTCACACACACATATATGTGTGTATATGTGTATATATATATATATATATATATATATATATATATATATATATATATATATATATATATATATATATATATAAATTATGCATGTGTTTTAATGTATATACAGCAGATGCGTAATTATTGTTCTGTACAACTACATATATATGATATCGTTTCCTTAGCATATAAAAAAATATTCAAGATTACCTAAAAACCCTTTCCTTTTCTTCTTTCACTGGCGTTGCTTCAAAGAAAGTAATATCCATCCTGAATAGAGCATCACCAACGAATAACAACAACAACAAAAAAAGCTTAAATGAAATATGCTGATAACTGAAAATGCCTAAAGTAAATGACACTTAAATGCATCCAGCGTAGATCCTAACATGCAGACAGACGCAAGCTGGGATCGGGAATTCCCAGTTCAATCTAATATGGCATTCAAGGAAGAGGATCGCTTTATCTAGCGTGCTCCGGGTTGGAGAATCTGTTAATATGTAGCGCCGCAGGGTTCACTTGGCATGAGATAACATGGTATTTATTTGTTGCAAAAATGCAGTTCGTTTCTTCGCAGCATAGCTTTTATGTGATTAAAGGAAAGGGGCAAAAACAGACACTAAATAAATATGTGTGGATGCGTGTGTATATACATACATTCATATATATTTGTGTGTGTGTGTGTGTGTGTGTGTGTGTGTGTGTGTGTGTGTACGTGTGTGTGTGTGCGTGCGTGCGTGTGTGCATTCGTGCGTGTGTGTGCGCGCGCGCGCGTGTGTGTGTGTGTGCACATCTTATACATGAAGGTTCGTACATTGTGAGAGTGGACATAAATTTAAATTGAATCTCTTATTTCAGAGATTTATTGGCCTCTATCTATTGATACAACGGAAGCTTCTTGTGTTATTCCCTTTCCTTTATTGGCCACGATATCATCATAATTTTCTTATTAATATAAATTATTGCCAATATTTTAACTGTAATCGGAAGAAGAGACAAAATGTTGCGAATTTTGCCGTCACTGATGTTGCACACTTGCTAAGCGCCTCGAGGGAAAGGCAACAGGAGTCGAGGTCAAGCGTTCATTTGTCGCTTGCAATGAAGGCGTCATTGCAAAGCTATATCCGCAACGATGGCCGTATGTAATGCCTTAGAAATAATAGGACCGAAAATGAGACTCACATTCGCTGTCGCCGCCGGATCGCGCTCGACATGTGTTTTCGTAGCCTATATCCCTTATGACCTCATTTTTTTCTGCATTTTCCGGCCCTTGGTGAAGTAGAAGTAAAAGGAAGTTGCAAGTGCAATAGTTTTCAACCTCCCCCCCCTCCTAAGTACAGCTGTTGTTTCTGCAGTATCAGATTTAACACAACCATATACGTTCAAACATCATTACGCAATATTACTGATATACATCAGATAAAGAGAGAGAGAGAGAAAGAGAGAGAGAGAGAGAGAGAGAGAGAGAGAGAGAGAGAGAGAGACAGAGAGAGAGAGAGAGAGAGAGAGAGAGAGAGAGAGAGAGAGAGAGAGAGAGAGAGAGAGAGTGAGAGAGAGAGAGAGAGCGAGAGAGAGAGAGAGAGAGAGAGAGAGAGAGGCGGAGAGAGAGAAAGAGAGAGAGAGAGAGAGAGAGAGACTGAATATGTTTCACAACACTGCTCCCTTATTCTATACCCAATTTGGGATGGAGGTCGAGATTAAAAAGAGAGAGAGAGAGAGAGCGACAGAGGCGAAGAGAGAGAGAGAGAGAGAGAGAGAGAGAGAGAGAGAGAGAGAGAGAGAGAGAGAGAGAGAGAGAGAGAGCGACAGAGGCGAAGAGAGAGAGAGAGAGAGAGAGAGAGAGAGAGAGAGAGAGAGAGAGAGAGAGAGAGAGAGAAAGAAGAGAGCGCATTACCATGGTGGTCAGAAAAGTAAAGAAAAGAAAGGAAAAGACAAACAGAAGACAAAAGAATCTGTACAAAGACTAATCCAACAGCATCGGGCACAACCAAAGTAACAGCCAACAGCCAAGATATTATCTGATGGCGACTCGTGGATCACTTGACACAGCAGCAGATCAGATTACCGGAGACAGACGTCCTCTCAGCCGCGGGCCGACACTTTCAGATGAATATGTAAATTGAATTAAATTGGATCACTCGCACAGGAACCTAGGTGAAGATCGCACCTTTTGCCTCGACATCTTGGGTTTTACTTCAGTCGGACTTTCGCTTTGATCTTCCGTTTTCTTTAATCGTTAGTTCGGCTTTGTCGCTCTTTCTGTGTCTGTCTGTTTGTCTGCCTGTTTGTCTGCCTGTCTGTCTGTCTCTGTCTGTTTGTCTGTCTATCTGTCTGTCTGTC